CTACTTGTTTTACTATTTGATTTCAATCACTTCCTATGCAGTTGAGAGCTGGGCAATGGATAAGGATGACAGAAGAACTGATGTCTTTTGAGTTGTGGTGTTAGAGAAGAATACTCAACATCTAATGGACTGCCAAAAGAATTAACAATTATGTCCTGGAGAAGGTACAGCTGGAGTGCTCCTTGGAGGCAAAACTGACAAAGCTTTACCTCACATACTTTGGTCATATTGCTAGGAGAAGCTATTCTTGGAGAGAGACACCATGCTTGGAAAAGTGGAGAGGCCAGCCAAAGAAGGGAAGATCTTCAACTAGATGGATTAACACAGTGACTGTAGCAATAGCTGAGAAGCTGATAGTAATAATTCAAGGAAAGTAACAGGTATCAGGTGAATGAACGGGCTGGGATTTAATCTTAGATTTCCTATTCTTCTACACTGTGTCTTGGCTATAGAACTATTGTTCGTCCCTATGTAGGTCCTTTGGATAAAGAACATTTAACAATTGATGACTGTTACCAGTGGCAACACATATATATTGCAACAGAAGTGTAAGTTAAGACTCACAATACTTAATTCTTTCAACAATATTTATTATAGAATATAATTGCATGTCAAGGGAGCTCTGGTGGTCTCCTGGGTGAGAACTTGCATTGCCAACACAAAGGTGGGAAGTTCCAATTCATGAGCTGTTCCGAGGGAGGATACTGCACAATCTCCTGCTGTGTGATTCATAGCCACTGAAAACCCACTGGATGGTCAGCTCTGAGTTGCAGTGGGTGAGTATGACTGAATCATAGGTGTATTTATTTAATGTCTCAATGGTTCACTAGACTTAAGCTTCTTGAGGGCAAGAGTTTAGCCAACAATATTATGTACGTGATATATGCTGCATGGACACAATGACAACTTGAATGTAGGTTGCAAAAAGCTGAGGATAAAAAATACGTAATGAAAGATCTATGCTATCAAGCAGGGCTAGTCCTTGGAAAAAGATATCATGCTATCAAAGGTGGATGGTCAGACAAAAGAGAGGACCCTCAACAATATGCACTGAGACAGTGACTGTAACAATAGACATGTACATGCATATCAGAGATGATGAGGATGGCACAGGACAGGGCAAGTTTCCAGTTTTTTGTTTACAGAGTCACTATGAGTTGTAGTTTGCTTAATGGCACATAACAATGACATGGAAACAATTTCTCTTGTAACTTGTAATGTATATTAAGAGTTGACCATTAAATATTCAAATTTTTAAAGCTGTTTCAGGAGCATTATATCTCATTCTAAGTTTAAAAATGAATCTTATACATTGCCTTGGCTAATAGGGCCTAGTTCTAGAAGATTGTCTATATCATACACATTGGAAGGAAAAAGAGAAGTAATGATGTAACAGAAGTTGTAGGGGTTTTAAAAAGATATACTGAATTTGTACAGTGGATTCCCAGGCATGTATCAGTTTTCCTTTTTTTAACCAGTCTTTGGCAGACAATCTGTTGAAGATTCAGCAGTAGTAAATGGAGCTAGTCTATAACTCATTATTTCATTAGAAGTTTGGGGAAGAAAACCTAAGAAGTACAAGTTCAAAGCAAGAGTGGCCAATTGTGCTTTTTGCAAATTTTCAGTAGGATTCCTAAAGAAAAAAAGGAGGTGGCATAGTCTCGGCCCAACGGCCTCACGTGCTGTTTTCTGGAAGCAGACCCAAGGTGGGCTATGCAGTCACTCCCAAAGCTTTTTGTCATGTTTCTTTTTACTGAAGTAGCCACAATAATGTTAAAGCCTTGTTTTAAGGATTTGACTGGATAGTGGAGTAGATTGCCATCATGACAATTCATCTTTCAACTGACTAGGTCTATAATCACAGAAATTGGTTTTATGTTCAAACTTAAAAATCCATATAACTCCTTTATATTCTTTTGCTTTCTTCAAAACCAAAAGGAGGGAGGATTCTACTGTGTTAAAAATCACAATGGTTATACTTTCAAATTCTTTAAAAATTGAAAAGTAAACTTGCAGAAACATAAAATGACTGGGGTTTATATTATATTCTTGAGTACACTACACTGAGGTACATAAATACAACTAACTGTACTTGTATATTACCATGTTGTACAGGAAAATAGACACATGGTAAAGTGTCTTCACTCACCGAACGACACTAAAATACTCTAACATTAACGGGCAACTGAAAGAGGTGGGTGGGGGAAAGAACGTTTTTAAAGCACTGCTTTCCTGATATGTCCAATACTCCTTCCACCTAGAAAACTACCTGCTTTTTATAGAAATAAAAAATCTGGCAAAAAAGAAAAGGTCAGATTTATTCCTCTAAAATAGTTTTATAATAATAAATTATTTTAAAGACAAGAATATAAGAAGAATGAGTATTTTTTAGGAACTTTGGATTTCATATACAGCTGTTCTTAAAAATATTTTATTGTATAACTAATATATATATAGGAAAAATTTTCTAAAAATCACACTATCCAAGTATCCCAAGAAACTTCAGACTTTTGTATTATTGTTGATTGCCTTGGAGCCAAGCATGACTCATAGTGACCCTATGAACAAAAGGCCTGAAGCCCCTCTACAACTACTGACATTTATCAAAGTTCATAGAGTTTTTGGAAACATGTCGTTTAGGAAGTAGATGCAACTCCTGCTTCTAGGCCTTTACCCTTACATAATCTTTTTTTTTTTTACCCTTACATAATCTTATACATCATTGCATCATTGTTATGTGCTTTCAAGTCGCCTGTGACTCATAGCGAATCTGTACAACAGCCCTAAACCCTGCTCTATCTGTGACATCTTATTATCTCTGACATACCTACCCCAATTACCCCAGTCACTGAGTCAATCCATTTCATGGATGATCTTCTCTGGTGCTGCCCCTTCACTCTCCCAAGCACGACATCCCTCTCCAAGGACTGGCCCCTCCTTGCAACATGCCCAAAGTATGTCAGATGGAGCTTTGGAATCCTTGCCTTCAAGGAGCAGCCTGGTCTCATCCTCTCTACGATGATCTTGTTTGTTCTCCTAGCACTCTACGGTATATTCAACACTCTCCTCCAGCACTACCGCTCAAAAGCAGCAATTCTCCTTCTATTATCCCTAGTCACTGTCCAGCTTTCTGATGCATAACAAAATGCAAAGACTATGGCCTGGATCAGGCACATCTTAGTCTCCATACTGACATCATTGCTTTTTAGTACTTTGGAGAGGTATGTGAGATGAAGCTTCACCATCATCTAAGGATGACTCTAAGGAGAATCCTGGATGCACGTCTTCCAGGACAGATCTGTTTATCCATTTGAAGACCATACTACATTTAGTTTTTGAAGAGGAAGCTCAAAAAAGAATTCTCTAACTGAAGCATGTGTATTCCCATTCAGTTTGCCCCCACTTTTAAGACAGATTTGTTTCTTGTTTTGGAAGTCCAAGGGATATGCATTACACTTCTACAAAACCACATCTTAAATGCATCATTTTTTTCTGTCATTCTTATTGTCTAGTAGATGAAAAACCATAGTTTTGATGAGGTACACATTAGTCTCTAAACTGACATCACTGCTGTTTAGTACTTTGTAGAGAACCTTGAAAGCAGATTTTCCCAATGCAACACATTTTTTGATTTCTTGACTCCTAGATAACATTTAATGCATGTTTATGTGTACCAGAGTACATGTATAAGAACACAGCATGCTCATATTATAACAGTTTCAAACTGGAATCAGCTTACAAAATTTCATAATATACAGTGAGGGAACAGTTGTGGCCTAGTGGTAAGAAGCTGTTGCAATTTCAAAGGCATGGGGTACGAATCCACCATCTGCTCTGTGGGAGAAGGCTGGGCAATCTCCTCCTGTGTAATTAACTGCCTCTGAAAGCCTGCTGGAGAGTCAGCTATCGGTCAGTTCCCATGTACACAATAACGATACATATACAGGCACAATGGAATATAATCAACAATGAAAAGAAATGAACTATTGCTGTTGAACTGTAATCAACTCAAAGACGACCTTTCAGTGGATTTTCAGAGGCTGTAAATTGTATGGAAGGAGACTACCTTTTCCCCTTCAATGCAACTGCCTTTAGGTTAGAAGCAAAACTCCTTACCCACTAAGCTTTAAGAGTCCCCTGCTGTGAAATATACAATGGATTATTATCATACTCATTGTAGATTACAATGAAAATCAATGAATTATTATTTTTATAATTACATAAACATGTGTAAATATTAAAAAACATAATGTTGTCTGGAATAAACCAGGTAAAAGAGAATATATGTTCTATGTACCCACATAATATAAAAAACAGGCAAAAGTAAGCTGATTTGTTCAGGGATGCTTAATTAGGATCTGGATCAGATCTGCAGAAGAATGTAAGGAAGTGAAGATGATCATTAATGAAAGGATGAGAGAATGAAAGAGAGAGAAAGGATCATGGCTGGCAAAGAGTGGGGAATTCCTAGGAGTTGGTAACAGGTGATGGTTAAAGGGCTGTTTGCTTTGTGGTGATTTGCCAAGTTGAATATATATATGTTGTTGCTGGTTTGTGGCTTCTTCAAATACTTTTTTGCATGTCATAGTTCACGCAAAAAAAATGAAAATACAAAATCAGTAATGGTAATGATGGAATATTTATGGAAATATTGTGCTGAACTTAGGAAAGACATTTTTGGCTCAACTTTTTTTTAAAAAAATAATTAAACACAATAAGTACAAGACAAATAATTTTCAACAAAATGAGAAATCTCCTAAATTAGTTAATTTATCTTAAGACCAATGTTAGATGAAACCAAAGTAAAATACAAAAAAACAATAAACTCCCCACCCCTAAATTTTCCCTAATCAATTCCTATCACCACCCTTTACATATTTTTAATTTCTTCTTTAGACAGTGAAATGAAAATTTAATGCTAAAAGTCTTGAAATAAATATAGTTTCCCCAGTTCTCCTCTCTCTCTCCTTTATTTCTCCCCTTCCAGGACAGGAGGTCCCTCAGATTGAAAGCACTGGGAAGCCCAGAACGCTGGCATGGGCAGAGAGGAGGGGTCCCCTTGCAGAGATAGGGGTAGGGGAGTACAAGGGTGTGAGGTAGGGGACTCCTTGGTAGGGGAAACCAAAGTGGACCCCTGTTGCCAGAGGAAAGCACACCGGTCCCCCTGGGACAGGAGGCCCAGCCAGCCCCACATTCCCCAGTGGGAACGCGGCACTAAATGGCCAACTGCCCATCCTACTCCGGTTATAAAACCAAACTCGCACCAGGTCCTTCTGCAGCCGGAGTCGTCCTGCAATGATGCTCATCTGCTGGGGTGTAGGCTTTGGGCATTGCAGAAAGAGGTTTTCCAGGATGTTTCCAATTCGCTTCTCCTTGCTTGCACGTCTTTGTTTCCGAGACTGCTGCATGATTGTCTCCATTTTGCATAAGCCCAGAAGGTTCTCGGTGTCCACTTCCTTCAGCCACATCTTCAGCAGTGGTTGTAGCTTCCACATGTTGGCAAGGCTTAGCTGCTGAGCCTCGAAGCGGCAGATGGTTGTCTGGCTGAGCATCTTTCCGAAGAGAGCCCCCATGGAGAACCCCACGTCGGCCTGCGAGTATCCCAGGGCCAGCCTCTTCTGTCTCAGCTCTTTGGCAAGCTGCTCGATCTCTTTCTTTATGGCTGAGACATCCTCTGGCAGTGCCAAATTTGGGGTGCACTGAAGGTCAGTGCAGGGCCTGGGGAGGACACTCACAGCAGGGTTCTGGAGCCAGGGTCCCGCCTCTTGGGTTTTGAGCCAGGTTCCGCAGGGTATCATCCCACCCTGGAACTGGTAAGGCGGTGGGCCCAGAGGTACCCCCCACACCTCAGGGCCAGGGCAGCCATCTGGATCGACCTTTGGCTGAACCATCAGCCTGCCAGGGGGTCCCTGGGTGCTTAACCAGGCCTGAGTGTCAAGCCACACTGGCGTGGGCCCTCTGCAGGTGCCTCTATCACTGACCCGCAGTGAGAAGAAGCAGTTTGAGAGCCCGTGTCCGGCCATGGGAGAAGACCACACCCCTAACAGGCTTTTGGGAGTCTGGTAGAAACTGATGGTTCTCGAGGCTTTAGAACCAGTCTCGCCCTCAGGCCCTGCCCCCACCCAGTGGGAGGAAACGGCGGGGCAAGGTGAGAGAACCCGAGGCCACAGCTGGTTATGTGTGATGGTGGGGGAACCTGCTGGACCTAATGCAGAACTTCTCTGGTTCTCAAGGTGAAGGGAGAGGATCCTCACCTTGATTTTTGCTTCCTACTACCTCTGATGAGCAAGTCTCCTCCCTGTTGGACTGTCCTCCGAAGGGTATGTAGGCAACTTTCTTAGCTCTGCAAGTACTCAGAAGTACACCCTAAGTTTACAAACATTTCTTAAACATTTGTATGCAGATGTTGTCGGGACTAGTCCTCAGTACGTTAAGTGTTCTCACCCTCGATTTCTACCGCTAAAAATTTAGCCCCTCCCTCACATACCCCTATGTTCCAAGAAACATAAACATCCACACCTGAACGTAGTTCGAATTCATTTACAAATTTCACTTTCTCACAGGGACAGCAGCATAGGTCTACCTCCAGGGTCTGACTTGCTTAACTAATTTGTGTTTTCTCCACTGGCTTTTCAAGTCCTCTACTTCCCATCTTACCTTGGGTTCTTCATCCAATAGAGTTCTAGGAACTTCTCTCTCCTCTGTATTGGTCTAGCCTGATATTATTCCGCACTGTGAATGCTTCTAGAAATACCCTGAATCTCTGGCCCTCTCCCATCAGGGATCCTGGGACCTCATGACATTTGTTTATCAGGCATTCACTCCAGCTCTGAAAAGAGACAGCTAAGGAGGAAGGTGAAAGAGAAGAATCTACCTTCAGATTAAAAAAAAAATATATAAAAAGTGGTGGGGTTGTGGGTGGGCTGAGTATGGTGTTGGATGGATAGTCCATGCCCCTTTCCATTTACTCTTGATACAAATGTGCAATGGCTTTTGGCTCCATACATCTCTACTGAAAATAGTTTTCTTAAAGTCCTCAATGACCTTCCCGCTCTAAATCTGTAGCTTTTTAAAAAATCCCTATGCTGCTAAATGTCTCTGTAGTATCTGACAATACTGACCACTCTTCTTGCTTGGTTTCCTTTCATAATTTCTAAGAAATATTTCCAACAGTCAAACCTGTATTTATCTTGGCTTTCATGTCTCTTCTAACCTCTGTCTTTTATTTCCCACTACCTCAAATAAAACTTACTACTTGTTCTTCTAAACTTGTATCACCTTAGGGATCCCTAAACTGGTTAATCCCTCAGCCACCCAAATGTAAACCTAGAGACTGTTCTTTACTCTCCCCATAGTCCACAGGGTGGTAAATGTTACTAGAGCTCTTAAAACATCTTCAATCTACCCTTTTTTCTTTAGCCCCATTTAACTATCTTAATTCAGGCCACATAATATCTGTACTATCATGATGTCCTTCTTTTGGTTCTCTTTGTAGATACATCTTGCATGCGGTTTCTAGAAGCAATTTTCCAAAAACAAACCAAAGATCAAACAAGGTCACTCTTTAAAAAAATTGTGATTTTAACTAAAGTTTACAGAAAAATTGAATTTTCATCAATTCTCTGTTGCACATTTTCCTCCCTACCCCCTACCTAGTGCACTTAAAAAAAATCATTCATTGTTGCATAATTTCCTCCCTCCACCCACCTCCCCAAACAAAACTATGCACCTCTTATTCTGGACTTCTGTCATTCAAATAATGCCTAATCATATGTTACCTTTAAACAGTTCTTTCCTTCATCTGTTCCAGTGAAATGTTCATTATTTATCCCCTCTTTTCTTATTTAACAACTTCCCCTCATCTTTTAAGTGGGAAAACTTGGTATGACACCATTTGAGTTCTTCTCTCTGTATCAGACTCACCTACCACACAGTCTGTCATCCATGTCCTTGTGGAGGGTTACACTAAAGACAACATGTTTTTCATGTATGTATATTGCAAATTACTTTGTAGCTTAGTTGAGTACATGCTTGCTTGTTTATTGTCTGCTTTTATTAGTACACTACTTGTCAGTCAATTTGCCGTACTAGGATAACTTGTGGATTGCTGTGATACTGGAAGCTATGCCACCAGTGTTTCAAACACCAGGAGGTTCACCCATAGTGGACAGGTTCAGCAGAGCTCCCAGATTCATACAGACTAGGAAGCAGGATTCCATCTACTTCTGAAATAACAGGCCTTTGAAAACCCTATGAACAACAGTAGTTGTGGTATACCCTTTAAACCTGCGTTAGAATCTGGAGATCAGCACAACTCCGCCTCTCTCCTCCCCAATTCCCAGAAATCTTTTCTGGCAATGCTTTGGGGTGTGCCCTGGCCAATGCAGCCTGAGGTTACCTGCGGCTAGGAGAACAAACAGGTTTGTCCTGGAGAGGGTGAAGCCAGAATGTTCCCTGGAGTCAAGGATTCTGAAGCTTCGTCTGACATATTTTGGGCATGTTGCAAGGAGGGACTGGTCCTTGGAGAGGGACATCATGTTTGGCAGAGTGGAGGGGTGGCGAAGGAGAGGAAGACCTTTGATGAGATGGATTGATTTGAGATGGCTAGGTTGGCACAGGATAGAAGAGCGTATAGAGCTCTTGTACATAGGGTTGCTATGAGTTGTAAGCGACTAGACGGCACATAACAGCAACAACCCTTGGAACAGACCTATAGCTGACCCTCTGGTGGATTTTCAGAGGGCAGTTAACTGCACAGAAGGAGACAGTATTAGAGGTAGAACCCAGATTGGAAGTCACTAAAAAAGGAACAACAGCCAAGCACCTGTTAATGACTAGAACGTGGAACAAACAAATATGTCCTGGAGGAAGTACAGCCGGAATGCTCCTTGGAGGCAAAGATGACAAAGCTTTGTATCACATACTTTGGCCATGTTGGTAGGAGAAGCTATTCCTTGGAGAGGGTCATGATGGTTAGAAAGGTAGTTGTTGTTATGTGCCGTCGAGTGGCCTGGTCTCATAGTGACTCTATGTACAACATCCCTAAACCCTGCTCTATCCTGTGTGAATCTCATTTTCTCTAACATATCTACCCCAATTATCCTAGTTACTGAATCAATCCATCTCATCTAGGCACTTCCTCTCTTGCACTGTCCCTCCACTCTCTCAAGCATGACATCCTTCTCCAAAGACTGGTCCCTCTTTGCAACATGTCCAAAGTATGTCAGATGAAGCCCAAAAATCTTTGCCTCCATGGAACAGCCTGGTTTAACCCTCTCTAGGCTGAACCTGTTCATTTTCTTAGCAGTCCATGATATATGCAATATTCTAACACCACAGCTCAAAGGTATCAATTCTCCTTCTATCTTCCCTAGTCACTGTCCAGCTCTCTGATGCATAGCAAGTGACTGCAAAGACCATGACCTGTATCAGGTGCACCTTAGTCTCCAGAATGACACCATTGCTCCTCAGAACTTTGGAGAGGTCCTAACAGCAGACTTTCACATTGCAACATGTCTTTTAATTTCCTGTTGCTAAGAGTGTTGACTGTGGAGCCAAACAAACTAAAGCTGTGAACAATCTCAATCTCTTCACCCTCCATCCTGATGCTGCCAATTGGCCCAGTTGTAGAGGGTCAATAGAAGAGAGGAAGGTCTTCAGTGAGTTGGACTGAAACAGTGACTGCAGCAATGGATTCAAGTGTGCCTGAGAGGATGACATTGGCACAGGATTGTATAGAGTTCAGATCACTTGTTCATAAAGTCACTATGAGTTGTACTCAACGACATCTAAAGACAACAACAATAATGCCTCCATACGGGGAGCTCAAGTAGCCTACTGAGTAAGAAATTATACTGACAATTCAAAGACAGTCCGTTCAAATTCACCAGCGGCTTCATGGGTAAAGGTTGTGCAATCTCTTCCCATGAGATTTACCAAAGCTGATAATCTGCTGGAGGGTTAGTAATGAGTCACTTCCAACTTGATGGTCCATAAAAACATGCCTTTTTGTATGCTGTTCTTTCTACCTGAAATGGCTTTTGTCTGGTTCTTGGTTTCATACTCTCACACCATTTAGGATCTTGCTCAATATGATATCATTAGCTTGACTTTCTCTGAGAACCCTAACTAAAATAGCATCTGTTGCTACTCTCTTTTCTATTTACATATTTTATTTTTGGAAAATAATACATACACACATACATAAAATAATCTAATATAATTTAATCTATGAAATTTGTCTCCTCACTGCTAAAAGGGGAGAAATTTTGCCAGCACTTTGCAAGTAGTTATTGTTAGTACTGTGTAGTTGATTCCGACTTACAGCAACCCAATGAACAATAGAAGGAAACTGTGTCCTATCCTGTGTCATCCTCATGACCTCTGCCACACTCAATTGTATTGCAGCCACCATGTCAATCTCAATGAAGGTTTTCCTCTTTTTCTTTTATTGTCTTATACTGGTTTCTTTACAAAGTTTACATACATTTTTGTTCACACCAATCTTTCCCGTTACCTTCACCCACCCTCCTTTCTCTTTATCAATGAACCCTCACCCTTCTGAGAACAATGCTCTTCTTTAAGAACTGCCCTCTCCTGACAACATGCCCAAAGTATGTAAGATTAAGTTTTACCACCTTTCCCTTTAAGAAGCATTTGGTTGTACGTCCTCTAGGATCTATTTGTTTGTACATTTGGCAGTAAAGAGTATGTTCAGTACTTAAAAAGGGTCCTCTAGAAAAGTTCTGCTAGATAGATGAAGTATGTGTATTCCCACTCAACTTTTACACCTTTCAGACTCAGTTTAGATGTTACCCGTTGGTGAAACTTCCTAGGCAGCATTTCTTAAGTTTTTGTGAGTCTTTCTTTGCACTTGATTTGTGTTTTTATTGTAACATTTATCAATAATGATTTATTTTATGTCTGAGTCTCCAACTAGAGCATGAGGTATTTAAGATTACAATTTTATAGTCTGTAGCAAGTTGGTGAATAAATAAAACAAATCTTTACCTTTTCAATTTTT